AGAGAGAGAGAGAGAGAGAGAGAGAGAGAGAGAGAGAGAGAGTTTGAGTTTAAAAAATCATTTATTACACAATCCAACAGTCACAACAAAAATACCACATTAAAAAAAAATAAAAAACATCAAAAAGTAAAGTCTGTTAGATCGCACCTTTAGATGCTCCATGAGACTGGGCACAGACAGCTTTATTAGATGACCCAGCTTCACACAGCCTGCTTCTCTCATCTTAGACCTCAGCGTAACAGACGAGAGCAGCTGTGACGAGAAGAAAATGTTTTCAAACAGAGGTTCCTCAAAAACCCACATCCCAGGTGTCATATCAGCCTTTCTCTTAAAGGTGAGGATCTGCCAAGCATTCAAAACTGATTGGTAAAATCGTGTGAGACCAGTTAGGTCCAATGATCCTTGTCGCAGCAGGAAGAGATGTTTATCATAGCCAATACGTCCTGCTTTCCTTAGTAGAAGGCGTGCCGCCACGGTAGTCCAACACCGTATAATAGTTTCTGCAGTGTTTGAAGCCTGAAAGCCGTGATCCGTGAGGTTATGTCTATGGGTCCTTGCCCTCCCTCCTCCACTGGCAGGTACAAGGCTGCAGCTCTCACCCAGTGTCGTCCAGACCAGAATAAATCCACTAGAGTCTTTTGGATACTTTGTATGAGAGAAGATGGTGGTGTTAGTACAGTCAGTTTATGCCAGAGGGCCGACGCAACCAAGTTATTAACTACCAGAACCCTTCCCCTGTAAGATAGCTGAGGCAGCAGCCATTTCCATCTAGATAATCTGGCACACACTCTTTCCATGACACCCTCCCAATTTTTCTCCACAAAAGTATCTGACCCCAGAAAAACACCCAAGAATTTTAAACCCTGGTCAACCCATTGAATATTGCCTGGTAATATTGGCAGATTGCTATTTGTCCATGGGCCAACTTTTAAAGCAGAGCTTTTTTCCCAGTTCACTTTAGCTGATGAAGCTTTTTCATAAAGTTCCAAGCAGTGTTGCAGACCTATAACATCATCCTGATTTTTAATGAGAATGTTTATATCATCAGCATAAGCAGAAACAACTAAACTTGGATGAATAGACAAACCTGGAAGAATAACACCGGTAAGAGTAGAGCGTACTTTGTGTAAAAGGGGTTCAACAGTAATTGAATACAACTGTCCAGAAATAGGGCACCCTTGTCGAATGCCTCTCTGCACCTTGACAGGACAACTTAAGCCTCCTCCTACTTTAACAACACAAAACACTTCATTATATAATAAACCCAGTAAAGAAATAAACCTTTCACCAAACCCAAAAGCTCTTAGCGTAGAAAAAAGAAAACAATGATCAACCCTATCAAAGGCCTTCTCTTGGTCTAAGGAAATAATACCCACATCAATTTCATAAAGTTTACAAATATCAAACAAGTCCCTTAAAAGAAAAAGATTGTCCATGATAGATCTGTCAGGTACACAATATGATTGATCTCTGTGTATGATAAGTTCAAGAAAGTTCTTCAGCCTATTCGAGAGTACTTTAGACAATAACTTATAGTCCACACAGAGAAGGGAGACGGGTCTCCAGTTCTTTAACAAAGTCAAGTCCCCTTTCTTGGGAAGTAGGGAAAGAATAGCTTGTCGGCAGGATGAAGGCAAGATACCTGTTACGGTGCACTCCTGAAGCACCTCCCATAAGTCTTCTCCCAACAGAGTCCAAAAAATGTTTATAAAAGTCCACAGGTATACCATCCAGACCCGGAGTCTTGCCAGGAGCCATTTGTCCAACTGCAGCAGTAAGTTCTTCCAATGAAACTCCAGCATCCAGAATTGCTCGATCTGCATCGTTAAGCTGAGGAAGACCATCCAGCAGAGCATCCATGCAGCTTCTGTTACAGGTCTGCTGCTTAAAAAGGTCACTGTAGAATTCCACAGCATGCTCCTTCATGGCACTAGGATCAGTGGTCAGAATCCCATTTGGAAGCCGGAGACAAACTAACTGTTTTGTCTGACTGATGTTTCTCTCTAAATTAAAAAAGAAAGATGTAGGGGCATCCATATCCTTGACAGTGGCAAACCTTGACCGAACTAAAGCCCCTTTAGCCCTTTCATGTAAAAAACAACTTAGCTGATCTTTCTTTTGTTTAAGTTGATCGTTATTAATAACATCAGTGAAAATATTGTTTTCTAACTGTTTTATTTCATTTTCTAGATTCTGAATCACATTTTTAATTTTAACTGTAGAATGACTTGTATATTGTTGACAAAAAACTCTTATCTGAGCCTTTCCAACCTCCCACCAATCAGTTAAGGATGTAAACCCTGATTTTCTTGCCTTCCATAACTGCCAAAAATTATTAAAACTTTGGCAAAAAAAGGTGTCTTGAAGTAGCTTGGTGTTAAAATGCCAATACGACCTGCATCTAGTGGTTTTTGCAAAAAGAAAATCCAAGTAAACTAAATGATGATCAGAGAAACCAACTGGACAAATTAAACAACTGGATAGTCTATTTCTGTGATTTTTGGAGATATAAAATCTATCCAACCTAGCCCCACTCACTGTCCCATCCTTCATTTTAACCCATGTGTATTGTTTATCTTGAGGATGTTTAATCCTCCACGCATCAACCAAATTAAGCTCTGATGTCACCTGAGCCAATTTAGAGGATGATGGAAGATGAGGTTCTTCTCCTGTTCTATCTATTGTAAAACTGGTTGTGCAGTTCCAGTCTCCCCCCATCACAACACATTCATTTTGATTAGACTGCTGCAAAAAATTATGTATTTTTTCAAAAGTCTTCGTCCTATTGTCACCTTGGTTTGGTGCATAAACATTAATAAACCAAAAAAAGAAACGTTCTATTTTTACTCTAACCACCAGGACCCTGCCTGGGACTAGCTCAGTACAAGAAATTATATTACCATCCAGACCTGGTGAAAATAAAATTGCTACACCAGCAGATGACCTGGTCCCATGGGACAAAAAATATTTCCCTTTCCAACTCATGCCCCACTCTACCTCATTCTCATGATCTGTGTGTGTCTCTTGTAAAAACACCACATCAAGCTTCTTCTGACTGATCATCTCTAAACTAACCATCTTCTTATGTGGATCCCTCCCCTTGTTGATGTTTAATGACCCCACCCTGATATTATGCATAAAGGTGAAAAGAAGAGGGAAGACAGGCAGAGACAGTAAAAAGAAGACCACCCAGTGTACTATCATTGTCTTATTTCTGAACTTTTAACCGTTTTGTACCTTTTGCTTTATTTGCTAATATCTGTCTCTGGAGGTTTGTCATGTGCTTTTTTAAATGAAAGCGTTTCTTTTCATCAAGCAGTTCATAATCCACTGTTCTCATCACCATACGAGCGCTCTATACAAACTTTTCAGCATCGGGAAAATAATCAAGAATTTTAACGTTTTCCAAACGTTTCATCTAGAAACACATTGATTTCCTCCAGCGAGTACAAATCACCGCTGGATGTTTGAGAATCTGCGATAGAAATACTGTCTGAGTCGCTGTCATCCTCCATGTCTTCTGTGTGTGCAGCTTCAGCTGCAGGCGGGGCCGCTGCGCCCCCACCTGCGGGCAGCTCTGCTGCGCCCCCACCTGCGGGCAGTTCTGCTGCGCCCCCACCTGCGGGCAGCTCTGCTGCGCCCCCACCTGTGGGCAGCTCCGCAGCCTCCGCAGCGACACGGTTACGATCAGCTGTCTGATCTGTTTCTGTGTCACGATGACCAGAGTCTGAGGAATCTTGAGGAACATTAATTTCAGTCTTCTCA